ATTCTACGCGTTAAATAAAACCGAAAAAATTAAAGGATATTTCCGAAATGAATCTATTAAAAACATAAATGGAATTATTTAAAAAGTGTGCACGTGGCAGCAATTGTTAATTTTGTGTGAAACTATGCGCGCAACTTGTTACATAGCATTTACTTAATTGGTGACAAACAAAAAAGCGGTTTGACAAGGCAAGTTCGCATCTTTAGTCTTTCGTTTTGTTTTCATTTCGAAATACACATCTCGTTTCGGCTTTTCTCATGTATTGTTTATGTGTGGCTACGATTGCTATGGTGATTGGTATGCATGACATTTTATCTCAAGTCACAGCTTCAAAATTTTGATTTGTTTGCGAATGAGTACGGTGTAGATTGATTACTATTCATACATATTATGTATGGATGTACAAATCGTTGAAGGATTGAAATTCGCTGGAAGACACAAATTCGTTTCCGTGGGCGGGTAATCGGAGTGTCTTTTAGGAAAGCGATGCGTTTTCACAGCAACTTTAAATTTTTAATATCAACGATATTACAAAAGTATCAAGCCACTATTTATTTTTTTGCAAAAGTGAAAAAACACAGCAAAGCGTAAGCGATAGAAGTGGTCTTTTTAACACTAGTAGACTAACCAAACGTTAAACTTTTAACATTTCTTATATGCTGTGTGCTTTTTATCACAATGGGCTTTTAGTTGGCCTAAGTGTAAGGGGGATTCACTCTCCCTAGCCATCTCAGCCTAACCTATATGCTGGCCTATGTTTAATGTTTGATTAAGACGAAAATTTGCGACGACTTAAAAATGCCATTACGGATTCCCGGTATAATAGTCACAAAAATTCGAGCTGGTTTCACAAAATATTAAAACTGTGTAGTAGTGAAGATTTTAATACAGAAAACACTTCTTTATCTATCTACAGTGACGGCAGAAATAATAGACTCGCCTTACTTTGAAGAGTTTTGGCTATATTTCTTTAGTTTATTTTATGTTTAATATTTTTTATAAAAGCCTAGGTAGTTATACAACAAATGTCATATAAATCCGCTTTTCAAACTTTGAACCAAGGCATATCAAACAGATAGTAGCATTAGAGCAAAAACAACATTTGCGTGTGTTTTGTTGTTGCTTCTGGTAACGAAAGTGTCAAAAATTGTTGTGATTTTTTAAACATAAAATAAACTAAAGAAATATAGCCAAAACTGTACGTTAAAGTACGATGAGTCTATTATTCTGCCGCCAGTGTACATGAGGGCGCATCTATTTCAATAAAAAAAAATTCAGTAGTTTTTCCATCGAAAATATAAAATTTAATATATTTTTAAAAACTTGCGCTGAAATATTTCGAGATTTTTATAAATAAAATTTATTTTTACATTTTTGTCTAAAAAATTACCCCAGATGTTGAAAAAGTTTAAGCTTAAAAGGTCTGCATGAAATGTTTAAGAAATTTTCCTATTGAATCAAACTAATGCAATTTTTGTAGGTATTTTCAAATCGGTTCAGCTCCAGCATATCCTAACATTTTTCCGAAATATTTTGGCGAAAGTCTTAAAATAAATCAAATTTTAAAATTCCGGCGGAAAAACCTCGACAATTTTCCTTTTCTTTTTGGTGATACCGCTCACTACATATCGACTGCTGAGTGGAAGATCAACCTATCTCGGCAACCAGTTCGAAAACGCCATATCTCAAAAAACTTTTCAAGAACGCCCTATTTGAGAATTTTGTTGAAGAACACCCTATTTCAGAATTCGTTTCAAAAATGCTCTATCTCAGCTGCCGATTCAAAAACGCCCTATATCAGCACATTTTCAATACATTTTGAAGTGAGATAGGGCGTTTTTGAACCGAATTCTGAGATAGGGCGTTCTTCAACCAAATTCTGAGATAGGGGTTTTTCAATAAAATTCGGAAATAGAGCGTTCTTGAAAAGTTTTTTGAGATAGGGCGTTTTCGAACTGGCTGCCAAGATAGGTCGATCTTCCACTCAGCAGTCGATATGGACTTCGTCCGTCAGTGCATATAGATGCCTTCTGACATGCCTTGGCGAGGGTTCCTCTGCAAGCAAGTGCCTGTTCGGGTGTCCACGTCGATGGTTCCCTACTAAGAATTGCTTACAGAGCATTGTGTTATGCTCCTTAATTGGAAGCATCTGGGCCTCGTCGTGTAGGTGGTGTTCTGGCGACATCAGAAGACATCCGGTCGCTGTCCGTATTGCAGTGTTCTGTACTGTCTGTAGCTTCATCCACTGCGTCCTACTGATCCCCGGCGACCACACTGGCACTGCGTAATTTAGAACCGGCCGGCCAATTGCCTTGTATATTGCCAGCAACGTTTCTTTGTCTTTGCCTCCAAGTACTGCCGGCTAGCGACTTGCGGACCTTGTTGCGGCTCTGTACTTTGTTGAAAATTGCGGTTGTGTGCGCAGAGGAGAGCAGACTGTCGAAAGTTACTCCGAGCTTTGGGTTATTCACCGTCGGAATTGGTGCATCATCAACGTGAATACCCAGCGGTAGTCTGACCTCCTTCGTCCACGTGGTAAACAAGGTCGCTGAGGATTTTGTAAGGGAAAGGGTTAGGCTCCTGGCAGTGAAGAAGCGAGAAAGCTCGAAGATATACCCGTTTACTTTCGAGAACAAGTCAACAATTGTCAGCGTAAGAGACAATCGAGACTCCCTCGGATGGTTGAGGGAGCTTGGAAATATAAAAGTTAAACAGTAGTGGGAAAAGGACACAACCCTGTGGAACCCCCTGTTTAAGTTGTCTAGGTTTGCTCGAGTTGTCTCTAAACATTACTGACGAGTGTCGAGGAGGCCTCTATGTCTTCTAGCAGCGTGGAGTGGCTGACGGTATCAAACGCCTTTGATAGATGCAACGACTAGAATAGTTCTTTACGGTTTAGGCCATGTGTTATCTGAGTGTTTATGGCTGGTGAGAAAACAAGGAGGGGGAGGCCTTGTCTTCACTTGGCATTTCCAATTGACATCAGTTGGCACAGAAGCGCAACAACCATCGACGATTATACCAACAACTTACATGCTTTGTATGGTTTAGTATTTTTTTTACCGATACATAAAAGTTAAACTGAAGCACTCCTCTGTGTGAGCCCCTGCTTAATTTTTCTACGTTTTGATTTTTGATCTCGAAAAAATTACTGCTCTTCTGTTGGCCGATTATATCAATAAGTTAGTTGTACTCAGATTAACCTAGGGATATTTCTCTATACGTTACAAATTTCTTAGATTCAGAAGAAATTATGAAAATAACTAACATACGATTATTCCTTTTCGAATTACAGGCTTATATTTGTACCTACATACAATTTATGTTGAGACGCAATGGATCAGGTATGATGAACATGTCAAGTAATACAAAAATTAACTCCAACATAACGAATACTAACGCATGTGGCTCAACGTCGGCCAGTCCAATGGATGCACTTCCAAAGCAGTTTGTCGCTTCGATGAAAACCCTCTTCGACATATTGGACGATCAGCACACGGGTTTTGTAAGATTCTTAGACATTGAAAAAGGTTGGCAAGATGATGGTTGCAAAGGATTGCCGCATGGCGTCATTGATTCTCTTCGAAAAGTTACACCTCCAAGTGGTCTTCTGTCGTTTGATCGTTTCTGTGCAGGATTAAAATTGTGTTTGTTGCGTAATCAGAGCGCGTCCATCGGAAACGCATCACCCGGTGCGAGCAGTGTTTCACCTGTGAAACCGCCGCGCCCACCTTCAGCACCTCTTTTGGATATCGAAAGCACTGTACACGGCAACACAACGTGGTCCGTTACCAACGTCACAACTGCCACAGTGCGACCTCACAAAATCGTCTCATCCCACCGGGCACTAAGTTTACCACAGTTAAGTCCGGATTCAGAGATAGAAGCAGAAATGGTGAGCACAGACGTTGATGTATACAATTCTCCACCGCCGCCACCGAAACCTCCACGCGCTTCTGCTGCTAGTCAACTTGGGGCACCTAATACGCCACCTACTCCTTTAGATAAAGCGGAAATTCGACATGCTCTGCAGAATTGGCAAATGGGAATACTTTTAAATGAAATGGGCGCAAAAGAGAAACACGACTCAGCATATATTTACAATCAATTTCCTTATCGTGGTTGTGCAGATGGTGGATCATCATCAGCCACTGACAGTGTAACCGGAACTGTAGGCACATTGCACCCGAAGAAGACTAGCTCCAAGAGAAGGGAGCCACGAAGGCACACACTGCAGAATGGCATTGACTATAATATGCTGAAACGTCTCAAGCAATTTGAAGAGGAACGTGAAGTACTCTTAACGGGATTGGATGCAGTGGAAAAAGCCCGCGACTGGTACTTACAACAAATTGCTAATGTTCAAGAAAAGATAAAGTATTTGGGACGGATAGGGCACGTAGTGAGTAATATCGTGTATGTAAATGTTTGATTTAATCATTAGTTGAATAATTGTTTACTTGTTATAGGAGCAATGGTCTGAAGTCCAGCAGGAACGGCTGGAATTTCAAAGAGCTCGTGTTTATGAGATTAATCGCAATTTAGCAACTCTTGCTGATTGTTGGGAACGTGGTGGATTTCCTCTGCACTTTAATCTAGCAATTAGGTCACCCGGTAAGGCACTAAATCAACGTAATGTCAGCGGCAATAGTGGAGGTTTGCTGCAACCCGTAGATCGTCTGCGTCAACAGAATCATAACCTTACGAATGAAGTAAACTTAAAAACCGACCGAATCGCTCTCTTAGAACGTGAAAAGCAGTCGCTAATGAGAGAGTTGTACGAGTTGAGACAAAGAGTTGGGATAGTTGGGCGTAGTTCAGGATTCGTCACCGTTCTTGGTCAATCGTCGCCTTCATCATCTGGAGGGCTTGGAGAAGCAGATGTTGTTTTTTAATTTAATTTAGTTCATAAAATAGCTTTAAACTTGAAGAAACCATGTAGAATAAACTGGTACAAAAATAATCGATTACCAGTCCATATACATTCCGGCGGTCATATTTTTTTTTTTTTGTAGCGTGTTGAAGTCCTTTATTTTTGATTATTAAATTAGCATGGTACTAATACTACTCGGGATTAGGAAAGCGTCGCATGTACTTGTTCAGTTGTTTATAGTTGAGGTTTTTGCCTGGAGTTATAATACCTTGGTTGACTGTTTTCTTGGCTTCAAACTTTTTGTCCGCATACATTTTATAACACTTTTGGAATTGTTGTATTTCCCTATTGCAGTACTTCTCAACAAAGTCGTTGTCCTTGAGGCAGGCAAAAAGGACACCCATTTCCTGCAAGCATGCTACATCAGATGTAGAGTCCAACTTGCCGCTTACTCTGTTTTTTAAACGAAGTGGTAGTATTTCCTGAAAGGGCACATTATGTTCTTTCTGCGGTGCACGAGCATCTCGATTCTTATACGCGAAAACAGCAGAAGGCACCCGCATTTCGGCTATCTGTAAATACAATATGAAATATTTTGAATGGAGTTGGTATCAACGTGCGGCTGTTATCAATCCTTATTGATTAACATCACTGTCATTCTCCGATGATAACAAATTTACACAAACTTTACCTATTGGCGCCCAAATAAATTAATTATTCCCGTACGAAAAGGAGGCAATTAAATTTTTTGGTTACATGAACACAACAATGCTGCCAAAGCATAGAAAACAGCTGTTGCTTGCTAAATACAGTGAAGTTAAAATGCGCATTCAACCGGAAAATTTTTTATTATTTTATCTCTATAGCAACTCATATGCATGCTCATAGAACTTACCCGTATTCATATCAAAGAACGCTTGCAAATCTATTATATATATTATTAAGTGTTATATATGAATGTTTGATCGTATGGCGATTTGCTATACAATTTGGGAGGGTGTAAATTGAGTTATCACGATTTGTCGTAAATTATGTCCGAGATGTTGAAAAAAATTGCAAGGAAGGGAAAATTGAGAGCAAATTACATTCCATTTTGAGGGAACTGGCGAATTCTCCCTGTATAAATTTGCAAGTATGTACTTGCGTTTTCCATTAGCAAGTCGCTAAAGTTTGTACATTTTCCAATTTAAAAAACTTGTTTATTCAAATTAGTTCTGTTCGGAATGTAAATAGTTGATACGAATTTCTACTAATTATCAACATTTTTGTCTGATAGAGAGAGAAAACTTAAAATTTGTCAGGAATTTTAATATTCTCGCATTGCTTCTCTTAACTTGCTACAAAAATAAATTGCCTTTACCTTAAATATTTGTTTAAGTGAATATTATTTTGTTTAAATGTACTTTTCCCCATTTAGTGAGTTAATTTTATAATTTCGTTTTCCTCGTGCTAGTAGTATAAAATTAGTGCTGCCGACCCCAATAAGAATGATCCATTCCGTGAGAAATGATCGTGATACTGAACTGGATAAGCTAAGAAAACACCACTTGGATGTGCGAGTTCAAAAAATGGCACCACTTCATTCATTCAATAATTTTGACAATTCCAAGTCGGGTGCAATTTTGTACATATTTGTTTTCATTTCGCATATTCGG